CTCAGAAGTGTGCTCTGAGGAGTGCATTCTTTATATGGTCAAATATTTTTCTAACTTTGACGAGTCATTGCAATGCGTCATTGCAATTTGCTTTCTAGGGAGAAATCAATCACTGATCTTTTATAAGTTATAACATATTTGTGAAAATGCAAAACCAGGGTATGTGTCAACAGAAAATATTTCTAATAGTAATATATTTAACAAGAATACATTGAGTGCCTTGTGTTAAGGGATTTGAAAAAAATATCAGCTGTGGTTCTTAAATTTTGACAAAAATAAATGCTGAATCTGGCCATTTCATTGCTTCATATGATTTTGACAGGATTGTGGGATTAACTAATGTGGCCGAGGGCATTTTCAGTCATTGAATATTCAATAAAATGTTTTTTCTGCTTTACTTACAGGAACAAGTTTTATCAGCAGTTTCCTTAATTTGTGGTACTTTGTTAGCTCAAAAAGGTAAGTGATGCAGTGCATCTTTTGTTTTTTCTATGTTTATCTCAATTCATCCATTTTATTAGTTCCATCCTTATTGTATTTATTCCTAAACTTCTAAAGCCCAAATTTTTTCCTACCCTGTTTTAAAACCCAATTTTTGGTTTCCTTGAACTCAACCCTAACCTTATAGCTAACCAGGGTGGATCCACTTCCATATCTGACTTTGGAATTTTGAGTCCTGAATGTGTGCGCCACTATACGTACTACCAAAGATAGTGTTTGGTAACTACCCCAGATAGTATTTGAAATTTTGACTCTTGGCAGAGACATTGTCTGCATTTTGAAGGTTTTATTTAGAAAAATATTGATCGTACCTAGGCTCAATAAATGAATTCATGAACTTTTCCTCAGTTTTCATGTTTATTGTGAAAAATAATTCTTTTCTTGAGATATCTCTAGACAGAGAAAGCTTTACTTATGCTCTATCTTTGCATTGTTGCAACTCACAGAAAAAATCATGTTAAGTCGAAAGATCGTATAATGTCTTTTACATTATTGAAAATGAAAACGATCTTTATGTTTTTGAGCTTGTTCCCGGTAGCTTCAAATAAAAAGTGGACTAGCACCAGAGCATGCGCTACCATAAAAACAATCACGTGGCCATGTTGATGCCATTATTTCATAATGATGCGAGCATAAACAATATCGAGCTAAATAATTACATGAGAACCTTAATGAACCAATCACGACTAACCAGCCTTGCTCTTTTACATTTACATTACCTTCGATCATCTTCAATTGACGTAGAGGAAGCGATAAACATTTATTCAAGAAAACATAGTTGTCGATTGCAATTTGACACTTTATTTTAAACTTCACCTAAAGGGATTGATGTAAGGCTTTAATGTAATGCTAAGTTTTATAAATATATAGTTGTGGTATACAAGTCCCTTTTTTTCAAATGTGCACCCCCCCTTGAAACTTTCTGGTTACAGCCCTGTATTTTTGGCGCTTTTTGGCACTTCTTTGTAAAACACATAAAATTTTAATGGCTATTAACAGAATTCATCGACTAGCTATCAATATTCATTTAAAAATTTGTGAGAACGGAATTGCGGAAATATAGTCCTCAGCACATTTTATGGTTTGTCGCACGCAAATGTTTAAGCAACATAGCATCAAATTTTATAAAATGATGTCTTGTTACAAAATTTTACACTCTAAATGAAATAGCCGATTATAAACTTGAGTAAACGGTGCACAACCGTACATTATTCCTGGCCATCCATGCTGCATGCGTTGTTCATGCAATGGTATTGAAATTTTCTGCCGAAACCTATTGAAATGATGCCTGTTAAATAAATCTATAACAAAACTATTAATATTTTAATTCCTAATTGTCGATGAAACTCTTCCAAAGATTTTTGATTTTTCGATGCTTTGATGACTTTGATTCCTAAGCAATCAGCAGTACGCATATAATTCTTTTTTTTATGCGCACAAAAAGGAGGTACGTAGATGCCGTTTGTACTTTGCCTGTGCAAATTCAACAAAAAGCTTTCAATAATTAATTACATAAATCGTCGTAGATTGTTTCGTGTGATAAACATATCACTGTGAAATGTAAATGAAAAACAGCGAAATCGTAATAAAATCCGTCCTTCAAAATGTCGGAAAACGAAAGATATATTTTTGAATTTTTTTAAATAAATAACTGATTCAACCCGGAAAGTAATAGGTCGATATGAAAAAATATCATTTGATTTGCTTTGTACAAATGTGCGTACGTCCGTTTGATTCGATAAAGAGTTGTTCGAGTTGCAAAAGCAATCTTCGATTTGAAAGTATTGAGTTTTAGTAATATAAATGTGCCATAATGCGCAGTATTATTGTGGCGACAGGCGCGTATAAGCCATAAGTTGCATAATTTGCATAATTTGCGACACGATTTGTGTGAATCGATTTCATCGGTCACTCGCCCTCTTTCACAATAAATGAACGATCGCTACATATAAAACAAGCAATTAATATTTCTCATATCCATGTGACGTTGCCAAACGCTGTCGACAAGGACACGCTAGGTAAGTTTGCAATCATCTTTTTCAATGAACCCATTCATTTAGCGTTTATAAAACAGATTGAGCATGCAATTTGTATTGTTTAGGTTAAAACTTATGAGCTTTGTTGATTGTTTGTTGAATCAAAAAGTTTCTCGCTTTCAATTTACTAACTATTTGTTATAGGCAAACATACGATCGCAAGCTGGTAATACAATATCTCACATGTTACACTTGAATATCCGTATTTATCACTGCTTTGTTGATATAACTGTTATCAATTAATCGTATTTATCACTGCTTTTATAATCAAATCTAATTATGAAAGATGAATAATTTTGTGATTGCGATTCATCACGCATTTTGCTTGAACACTTCGAAACTGAACTCCTTGTTTAAACTCTTTGTTCTTCGTATGTACTGTTTGAATTCAAACATTTGGCAGAGTCGGTTATGGCGTTCTAATTCATATTTCATTCTTTGAAAAGCTTAAAAAGTAAAATATGTGCTACCTGTTCACTTTATTATTGGCAACTTGAAGTACGTTGGTCTTCTAGATGTTCGAGTTCAAGGAATGATTCTAAACGTTCAGAATAAGCTTTCCAAATGATTTGGGTGAAGATTACGAATGTCAATAAATTCTTTTGTTTGTAAATGCGTTTGGGTTTCGCCTAAAATAAGAACATGTGATGGATTTTGAACTTGACAGCTATCGTAAAACACTGTAGACATACACGTTCAAATCTCTTTTCTCGTCAAGTTTTTGTTTTTATGTAGGTAAAGTATTATGCTTTAATTACTGAAATGTGTAAATGCTGGTGAAAATAATTTTTTGCCAGTTTTGATTTGCTTACATTAAGAGATTTAGATGGGGTAATTTCTGAATGGGTTGATGGGTGAGAACTAATTGAAGCAGAGAGGCGTTCTAACTTTTAAAAGCCACAACCAAAGCCCTCTAAAAGTTTTAAGTCAATCTTAGAGCCGAGATGAATTTACTGTGGGTTAGGCACTCTTCCTAGCATTGGCTACAAGTTGTATGAATTTTCCTTTAAATTATTAATATACAAGGGAATTGAGAAAAAACCAATTATGATTTGTGTTTTGTGGAGCACCCTTAAAATATATTTCCACTAGGCTACCTATGCTATGAGTAACAGAATTTGACATATAAGCCCATCATGACACAATGACATCCAAAAACTTCTAATCCAAACCAAAGCACCTCATGTCCCCCCTTAAAATCATTCTTGATCCATCCCGGTCTTGAAGTGAATGCACTAAATTTATCCCCAGTTTCACATTTCACATTTTGTGTATTTTTTAAGGTGCAGAAGAAAGATTGATTCCTTCTGTGTTCTAACTCCATCACTAAACTTGTAAGATACAGGGCCAGGACTCAAGTGGTAAGTTGCTCTTTCTATTCTAAGCATACTACTAAGTCAAGTTAATCTTCCAATAGAATGAATAAAACATCACCTAGATTTTAAGAAATTGAATGCATGATTAGGCACCATACCACTATCATACATAAGTCTACATACGTAAAATATGCTGGCTTGGCTAAATTTGTGAGCAACATAATTTTATTCATGACCATGGTATCAGGGTGTCTGTTGAGAGAACATGTTCATTTGAAATGTGGGTATCCATCCATTATAGGAAAAACACCTGCAATTTTAGCTTCTTGCTTTAAAGTTAATGATGTTTGAATGCCATATATTTACAGGTTAGCAAACTTTTCATATCAATGAAAACCTTTCACTCTGACATGATGTATATAAAACAAGAAAACTGAAAACTCAAGCAGTTTCATTAATTGACTATTTTATGTGATCACATAGTGAGCATTGAACACCCACAAAATTTGAAAAGCTTTTATAGAAACTGCATGATATTTTATTGTAAAAAATTATTGAGATAAGTATAATTTCTGCTTTTCGTGTCAGTACAGCAAAACTGCTCTTTTATATCAGTTCAGTTGTAAAGAGTTAAAAAACAGCTTGCATCTTGGTGATTGCTTTTGAGCAATTACCTCTGGTTTGATCAAGTTTGATGGCATTGGTTTGTCAAAATTGAGTCCTTTTCATGTCCATGACAGAAATGTTGATAAGTAGTTACCATTTCTAACCAGATTTCCTGACGAAACTTTGAAGATATTAAGGCTATTCCTGTCGTTACACATATTATGTTGGTTAACCTGTTTTCCAATGAGCTTGCTTACAAAACCCAACAGAAAGGATACTGAGCCCTCAGAAATATCTTTTGACATTTTATATAATAACATATTTTGGAAGTAGTTTTGAAATATTGGCTGATGGTTTTACATGAATTGTCTGATTCCAAAATTTGATCTATTGAGTATAGATGTTGATTTATAGTCATACATAAAGACAACACAATTTGGCAAAATAGGATTGAAGTGATTAACATAAATTATTCTTGCATGGGTGGAAAAACAGAAGTGGTTATAGAAAAATGAAATACCAAACAAAAACTATGAAGGCATTTTTGTTTCAAGGTTCATTTAATTTAAGGTCAGTTAATTCCTTACTAATTTCAAAATAGTTATACTCCAATAATTTTGTCTACCATAAAGACCAAACTATTTGGCAGACAAATGCATTTTTTCCAGGTGCTTCTGATAATCTTTTTTATGCATCAGTTTGGATGCATAATACATAAATTAAAACAGTTAACAAACTTATGAGCCCAATTAGGAAATTCTTCTCAGTCAGTAGTTTTCTATACCAAAATAAAAAAACAGGAAATTTATTCATTTGCAAGTGCATGACAAAAACAATGTACCCAATTTTGGAGATAGCATTAAGTTGGATGCTATTGTGTTTTTATTCTGTTACATTATTATTACTTTTCATACTTGACAATACAATTTATGTATTTACAAAGTTAGCTATCATTCATTTTTTGATATAAATATACCTCAACACCAGGCTAACTGAAATCATGGTGAAAACCATTACATATTTTAGTTGTTTCATGCGTTCATCCTTAAAATGGACATAAATGCCACAGAATATTTACATACAGGTCATTTCTAGTGATATTTGTGATTTGCATTTGTCGAGTGGCAATTTTCTTTGCTGAGTGTCAATGAATCATATATAGTGTTAATATAAAAGTCACTGGAGACGATTTTCTGTTTATAAGTATTTTGTGTTAAAGGTCCGTTCCTTCATATTACAAATATACACATTAACTTAAGTATAATGTGTAAAATTACTTACCACTATCATTGTTTTCTTTAATTTCAGCAATAATGCGAACCATGCAACTTAATATTAAAGTTTAAAATGAATTTAAAATAAAAATTCAATCAGAAGAGCATACACTTTACAATAAACGATTGAAGATATCCAAAACTTTGCTGGATAGTAAATTGTGGTAAATGATAGGGGTTGCGTGGTTGCGACCAGGCAGGCAAGTTACCAGGCCTGTTGTTTTAATGGACGTTTCAAATTGACTTATAAAGTCAATTTGAATTTATTTTCACAATTAGCGTATAGAGTTAATTTAAGGAAGAGACTGGGTTGGAAAAAACAACAAATGTAACAACAAATGTTACACACCCCCTTTCCTCCCTCAACCAAAAGTTTTGCGTTATATTTAATTTTTGTACAATACAGGAAGCCAAGTAAGACTACTCTTTCTTAGAAGACTATGGCACTATGTCAACTATCTATACTTCAAAATTCTCATAACAACAAATTTAATTTGCAGTCTGTGGTTGAATTTCGTTGTATATATAAAAATTTAAGAGTAATACCAAGAGTCAACAGTGTTTTTGCATAATATAGTATAATTCACTGCTTTAATTCTGGAAAAGAAAGTACATTTTGTTATTGAGTTTATATCCCTTTAACTTAACTCAACTAAAACCGCAGCAGTAGACAAACAAAGCGTGTGCTATTTTATTTTTTTATTTTGTTTACTGATCATCGGGAAACGTGTCTTTATATGAATTTCGAGCACCGATTTCGAGTCGCATAAGTTTAGAGCTGAGCTAGAGCAGTGCAAACATTGAGGTTATGAATAAAACTGAATACAAGAGGTCTGGTAACTTGCTTATTTATGCCTTTAGGGCGCCATTTTGCTTTGGAATATCCGTCTCAATGATGCGTCTGGATGCCAATTTATGACTAGAGTCCCGTCTGAAAGATTTTCTTATCTAACTTTACCGACTATTACTTAGGACGAGGAAGTTTAGATGGGAAAATCGCCTGTCTTCGGATTCATATAGATTTTCCCGTCTGAGACAAGTTTTCCGTCTATTATGTGAATTCGGCTTATATTGCCGACGTGGTGAAAAAATTGAGCGAAACCTACTGCATTTTCGATAAGTGATGATTTAAATATAATAATAATATAAGTAGATTGAGTACTTGAAGTATACGTCTAGTCACTTATCTCTAGTGGCGTACAAACGTTCGAATACAAAATATGATTTCAATGAGCCATTTCCCGTTTCCGGAGAATAGGAGATTCAATTTTGACACGGTTACGACACGTGGAAAAACATGCACTTTTTTGACGAGTTTTCACGTGCCTTTACTGTGTCTGTAAGTCGTAATAACATTGTCACAAATGCTGCTAGGGGCAACCAGTTGAACACCAATTGGAAGATCATAAATAATCATGTGCATTCACGACTTGATGTGATTGGGCGCACTTAGGGGCGGATCCAACTGATTGCAACAACTTAGTCTTTGACTGCCCCACAGAGCGCTTTTATATTTGTATGTTTATACAATAAACAGCAGAAATAAACCGCAGCATTTAATGAAAGGTTAAACTGTATCAATTATTAATAGCATCAAAAAAGTCTACACGCGACCGACTTAACATGCTTCGTCTTTAAATGTACGAAGTAAACAAGGACTTTGAAATCTCATTAATATCGATATCTACTCCGCCTGTTGTTTTGTGAGAGGGTAAGCGTGTTTATATTGCTTGTCGCTGCGTTCATACTATTTGTTGTTCGTTTAAAAGGCGATATTTTTACCAATGTTTGTACGATTAGTTCTGTGAATGAAAGGATTAGGATTTAGCTCATTATAATCATGTTGATTTTATCATTTTCACGTTTGTATTGTTTATCTAAGCTGAGTTTAATGATTCTTTTGAGGCCTTGATTAACTATTTATTTGTTGTGGTAAAGCATGGCAATGTGTAAATTGTAATTACGTACAAACAAGTACATCGGTATTTATCTCCGCTATGTTGTGATTAGCACCATTATCTTATCGAATTAGTTGAATTGAGCGTGCATCGAAGTAAATTCTTTGTGTTCGTTCAAGCGAAAAATAATGCGTGGAATTTATTTTCTAAAAATGTAAACGATAATTTTCTCAAAAAATTTGCATAGTACGAGTGAAAGTTGCGGTCAGCTTCGCTACTGTAACACAAACAATGAATTTCAGCGTCTAGACAAGAAAGCTGTTAATTGTTTAAAATCACAGGACAGAATGAGAATATACACAAAACAGTTGATTACCATATCAATTGCTATAGTTAGTACACACAATCAAGGACTTAGCAAACTCACTTGAGGTATATGTTATGTTAGGACAGGCACATATCATTGCTGGCTGCTGTGTCTTGAAATGTGTACCGTGTATACAAAATAAATGGACTTTTGAAACCAACTCAGCCGGTTGTTGTGTTTTGTGAGAGTTTATTTCTTGCCGCTGCTTTCATATTGTTTATGTAGCGTTTGAAAAGCGACATTGTTAATAATGTTTGTATAGATTTTACAGTGCATGAAAGCATGCGGGTATAGCTCATTATCACTGTTGACTTGAAAATTGAAACATTTATATTTTTATTTATGCTGCGTTTTTATAGTTCTTTGTGGCTTTTGATTATAGTTCTTTGTTATGGGAAAACATGCCCACTTGTGATTTATAATAAAATACAAAATTTACATGTAAAATCTTTGTATCATCACCGCCATATTGCTATTATTACTATAATTTGATTATTAAACCCTATTAATTAAACATAGTACGATGTATTAAGTACAATACAAGATTATAATAGGGATAATATGTTACAATGATAATACATATTATAGTATAAAACAAATTTCCGAAAAAAACAAGACATCTTGAGATTGCAAAATATGAATCAAAACAAGACGAGAAGTGAACTGTAAATATTCGACTCCGAAAAATTAGCAGTTCACTTGTCGTCTTGTTCTGAATCATATTTTGTACTCTCAAGATGTCTTGTTTTTTCGGAATTTGTTTTATACTATATTTTTTTAAATTGTCAACTGGTCATGGTTTTTAATACATACTAATTTGAGTAAACTATTTAACATACAACAATTCATTGATATTTAAACACTATGTAGAAATTTTCCCATTGTTCCTCCCCTTTTCTACATTGGCGGCAAGAGAAGATATCATAAAGCTATGTACTTAAGGCCGAATTATGCCGCTCGCGACAATTGTATTTATAATGAGTTCTAAATGAAACACGTGTTTCTGGTGTAGCACATATTATCAGGTTAATATCACAATATCATCAACTTGTCAAGTATTTGCCGAGCTTTAAACCACAGAATAGATACATAATTATGTATCTATTCTGTGTTTAAACCGTCAAAAAATTTCTCCGACAAAAACAGGTTCACTTCTAACAAATATAGTCATATTGATAAAACGATGAAAATACGACGCATTTTTAGGGGATTCAAAAATTATCAACTTTTGACAGGCAACTAATTGTGACAATGACGCTCGCTCACGCACACCACAGTCCAAAAGAGCATCAACAAATTTTTTGTGTTTATTAACTCCTCCAGCGATGATTATAATCTAATAGCACTGAGGCGTAAAAAAAATATCCCCCGCGATTACAGTTCGTTTGTAAACATTACTCTCGAAACTACGGTAAATTGATGTAGTTACAAGTTGATCAAATACTGACATAATAAGGAAATTCGTTTGAACACAAGGTGTTTAAGAAACACTAGTTCTTTTAGTAACTAATTTGCGTAATTTAAATGAAAATTAATCGATCTTCTTCAAGTTGTGCAAATTCTTAACTATAATTATTCATTTATCTCTAAAGTGTGAAAAGATTTACCCTCATCCAAGATGCCAGGAATCAAAATTCGTGAGGAAGACCGACAGAAAATTCACTCAAGGTATTTTTGTGGTTACTGTAATCTTCTCATGGTCAATCCAATCCAAACCACTTGTGGACACTTGTTTTGTCAAGCTTGTTTTGACATCCTGCTCGGGTAAGACATTTTATTGTTTAAGTTTACAACCTTTTAATATATTAATCTTAACACGGTTTATTTTATATGCACATGAAAAACATGTGACTTGGACGAGATTTGATCTCGCACTTTCGGGATAGTAGTCCGCCGCTCTACCCGTTGAGCTACCACGCCCATAGGGATTGGAGACCAGTCAAATCTTTTTTGTGACTGCTTATTTGCACTTATCGCAGAAACATTGTTGCTTATCCTAATGCCGAGTGACATATCTCGATCAATGCTTTATCACGTATCCCAATGTGGTCTCCTATATTCCGATATCGTAGGATAAATTTCAGAGTCGTATCATATATTCAATGTTTTGCCAACATCAGTCAACTCATATCATACACCTCATGTTAATTATGTACACCTCGATTGACTTTTCAACAAAACGCAAACAGGAAGTACTCCTTGTTTAAAGTGTCATATAGGTGTCAAACTGGAATGTAACTTCGTCTCTAGCCGTTCAACATGTTCATCAATTATATACCTAGTGCATTTAATAGTTCGTGCGCCCCTGTGAGAGTTGGAAAAACAAAATTGTACTGTTTACTACATGAAAACGACAAGCTCTTACTTTCTCAATCGAACTCTGAATTGCAAAACTGCCTCAAAACACTCAGCACACCACTCTACACCAACGAGTGGAATACATTGGCGGTCAAAAAACCTGATCACGCATAGAAAGCACCAAAACTAGGCGTATCAATATAAAAGCAAAAAATTTCAGCGCTTACGTAATTTACCAGTTTATACTTGATACTGATGGTCGCGTTACAACAATACTGCTTTTAATGATAGCTAGGGTTTGCAACCGTAAATGAAATCAGAAATGAGAAACATCCTTTATTGTCCTGCTGCACAATTACAAAGTTGATGGACATTTAGAAAAAAATGGTGGAAAGGCCTATAAAGAATACATAGATCTTTCTAAATTTTTACTAAAGGGGCTCTGTTCACATACTCAGTGTTAATGCTGGAGACTCATATATAAAACTAACAAGGAAATTCTGCTTTTGTATATCTTTACCGTTCGATGATGTATATAACGTTGAAATTGTTTGTGAAAGGAATCAATCGCAAACCAAACCCATGAAACTCATGTATTACAGATAAAAATATAAATTAATTCTATGTCATGTACTTTGAGTTGTGTTGTCATTGTAATTGTTCTTGTAATTGTTCACATACTTATCATACCAATTATGAGCCTGTTGATGACTTGTAATAGAAGGATGTATTATTCTACGCGACACTGAAAATTTTAAAGCTTAAAACTTCCGTTCATCATTGTAGCGAAGTTCAAGCATCTAACTGAAAATCATCCTTTGAGGTCTCTTCACCTACCCTCAATTTTTTATTCTTTACATTTGATAAATGCTTTCATATTTCCTCGATGTGTAGAGGTCCTGATCCCAAATGTTCTAAAGATCAAGAAAAATTAAGCAAGAAAAACGTATGTGAAAATATTCTATAGTTTTGACGCGGGAAAATTTTAATATCAATTATTGCTTCGGAAGGCTTTACACGAAAAACTTCACTTGTCTTTATTACGACAAAACCCAGTCTATACATCGCTGTATCTACTAATGTAAAACTTACTTTTTGAATCGTTGACTTTCTATGAAACCTATGTAGGCTTTCCCGGACAATTGCACAAAACGTGAGTTGAAAAGTATTCGTTTACATTGTCCCTCTGAACAATGCAAATGGTTTGGTGCTTATGAAGAATTGGAAGTGAGTTGAGCTGAGAAATTTATCGAAGAAGTCTAACCTTATTACTTACTAATTAAAGTTGTTTCTTGCCAGGGTCATTTTGCAGTTTGTGAGCATGCGCTCATCAACTGTATCCACAAGCAATGTAACATTCAGTTGCCTCGCTCTCTTCTTGGTGAACATTTGAAGAATGAATGTGAATATCGAAATGTGAAATGTGAATATTGTGGTAAAGATGTCCCGTATGCTTCACTTAAGGTACGAGGAATATTCGTTCACTGATCAAAGTAACATTGAGTTGACTACAAAGCAATATTCAAGACAGAATATTTCTAGAAAACATTTTTACCATGAGAACCGGAAAAATAATTGAACCTTTTCACCTCACATTATGATGCATAAACATCTGTTTCCAAATCATCTAACGCAAATCTATGCACAAAAATGTTGCTTTTATTTTCTTTTAACATATAGAAGCTCAAAGAAATAATGTGTGAGAACTATCGAGTGGTTTGCAAATATTGTTTTCCCTTGATACCAAGCAAAGAAATGGAACATGATGAAAGTACGATGGGTGATGAAGTGCCGACGAAATGTGAATTTCAAGCCATTGTATGCAACCATGATAAAGTAAGAATGTTTGACGTATTTATAATATCATGTCAGCAGTAGTAGATGCGTAGTAGCTCCTACCGGCAATCTTGCATTTGTTCTTTGCATGAAAAAACTTTACGTCAAAAACCTTTGAAATGATAGTATGATATAAAAATGCTTAGAAGTTTTAAAGTTGCAAACAAACAATGTTAAAAACGTTGACTTTGTAGTTAAATGCAGCTGCATCAGGTTTACATGAAGTACACATTTATAAATTCACTCATTTACAAATTTCTTAAATTCAGAACATATGATTATTAAGATACTTGATGGTTTACCCAAGCTAAGGAGCTAGAGCTTTCCCGATAAGCAAGTTGCAGTAAATATAATTCAATCTGCCGTATTAACGTACTTTGTACTCCTTACTTTACACGTATATGGAGACTGGGGGGACTGGGAAAAGCTCAGACGTGCCAAAAAATGAACTTTCTCGTTTACTTTTCTTATAGATAAAATATAAGTCGAGAAACAAAATTTATTAATGATACATAATGTCATAGTCATTTAAAAAGATTGAATTGAAACTACCAGTAAATAGCATGAAATATTTTGTTAAAATTATAATATAATTTGCTGGCAGTATCTTTTTCTCACTTCACAGACTTTAAAACGAAAGAAGATCAGACAACCAGGAGCGGATCTAGGATTTTCTAAACATCAGTCATGGAAGGCCGGAGGCATTCCCCACCATGGTAAATAATGATTACTATATACAGAGTGTCTATTGTCTTGTATTTTAACAAAATACTCTTTGGCAGGCGTAATTCATGAAGTTTGTTTATCTACATTTATTTGTAAAATTACGCCTGAGGAAAGCTGGTTCATTATTCGAAAATATATACTGCCCTCTTAATATTTCCAATTGTAAGGTCATTTTATTACTTGAAATTGTCAGTCATGTAAAACAGTGCGTAGTATATGTATATGAACCATTTAAAATAAACAACAAATTTTTTTAAAGCAAACATGTTTCGGCATACTTTATGCCATCTTCAGTGCAAAGTGAATAAATATAGGTTACATGACAATATGTTGTAGTGATGAAGCGGAAATATCGAATAGTTATGAATAATTATTTACAGCTGAATGAGGTGTTATAAAATGCTTGTGTTACGTTTTATCACAAAAAAAAATTGCAAAGAAAATGAATAATATATGATAAGGTAGTAATAGTTATTTACAGGTCAAAGATAGTGTTGAGATGTTGTATTTGTTTGTTGAGGTTAGGTTGACGCTTCTTGATATAAAGGGCTTCTTTTAGTTTAAGGGCGAAAGGAGTGTGAGCGGTGTCTAAGATACGGAAACAGGATTGTGTGTAATTGTTTTTGCAGTGTGGTGACGAGAGTAAGTGTGTGAATATGTGTGAGTTTTTGTCCGTGGTTGTGTGTTCTTTAATCCGTGTGGAAAGGTGGCGGGTGGTCTCCGCAATGTAACTGGAATTACATCCAACACAAGAAAATTCATAAACCACGTTGTATTTTAAACGAGTGGGAATAGGATCTTTGAAGCTAAAGTGATTTTTGATTTTGAAAGATAAAAAAATTAGTTTGATATCTAAGTCTGTGCAGTAGCGTTTTATTAAGTTGTGTAATTTCCGATTTGTGAAATGTAGCCAATGTAGAGTAGTTTGAAGAAGTAAGTCTCGAGTTGGGTTGGCGTGGGTTCGTTTCTGGTGTTTATTTTGTTTGTGTTTTTGTCGTGGTCATATGATTTAATGATTTTTCTATGAAAGGCAAGGGAAAAGAATTTCGTTTGAGATTGTCGATGAGAGCGTTTAAATCATGATAGTAGCCAGTCGACGTGTTGTTAATTTTCAGTATGCGGTGTATATGAGTTTTAATTAGTCTTGTCTTATACTTTTGTGAGGTGAAGCTAAAGAAGTTAAGTAATAGGCCAGTGTAAGTTTTTTTATGAAAAGTAGATGTCGTGTATGTGTTCGTAACTGTGTTTTTAGTAATGAGTATGTCTAAAAAAGGTGACTTGTTGTCGTGTTCTTTTTTTATGGTAAAGTCAATGTTCTTGTGTTGTAAATTTAAATAATTAAAAAAAGAGAGAGCGTCATCCTCGTTGTTAAAAATACAAAATATGTCATCTACGTAGCGTCTGTAAAACAATACTTTAGGTTCGTCATAGTTCTTGATCCAATTCTTTTCATGATATCCGGTGAAAAGATTGGCAAGAAGTGGTGCTAATGGTGAGCCCATCGCGACTCCGTCGATTTGGTCAAACATTGTCTGTTAAATAGGAAATGAGTTTGTGATGTGGCAATGAAAAAAAGTTGTTTTAGGTCTTGTTTTTTGATGATATGGTTGGGCTGGTGTAAATAAATAAGATCTAATGCAATGTCTATGGTTTCAGATAAGAGATGTTAATGAAAAGACTTAAGGCGTCAAAAGAAACGAAGTAGTTGATGTTGTGGTTTTGGGTGTGTAGTTCGTTAGCAAAACTAAAAGAGTCTGATGTAGTGTAATCATTGGGTATGACAAGGTTAAGTAGAGTACATAAGTATTTGGAGAGATTAAAGTTATATGAGTTGGTGGAAGAGATTATTGCTGTAAATTCATTTTTTTACTTGTTGTCAAAATAGAAATACACAGCTTGTGTGGATAACGCTTTTTTAAATATTGTTCGTAGAAATCACAAGTGGTGATGATGCTAATGCTAAAGATGTCGGAAATTCTCCTGGTGTTGAAAATACAAAACAAGGTATGCCTTTCAATTCTATTTTATTTTATATATATTGCATAACCTAAGCATATTTGTTTTGTATTGTATCACAATTCAAGTCATTTGATTGGTATTTATGTGTTTTTATGAAGATTTATATTATTTAATAAAATGCATGATGTACGTATACAGTGTTGCACTTTGGACTCCAAACGTTCGTTTATTACGTATATTGAATACTGTATCAATGACTTAAATTTTCTTTTTGCGAACGACAAATAATTTAAATGTACTGTGTACCAGACGGCAGTGCTCAGAATAACTTGACAAGTCTTTGTTTATCTCAATAAATACTGCGTAGCAGCAAAGTGACGCAACTCTTTATAAAGTGCAGAAAAATTGACTACACTACATAAAATGTATTAAAGAAAAAGAATTATAAGAAATGGACTAAAACCTTTTAAAACAAATCTTGATAAAATGTATCCCATACAGAACAGACCCTGCATTTTAGAAATTTTCAGGTTAGAGCATCTGTTTTAAAAGTGCTCGTGTTTGATTACATTAATAACTATTTTCTTTGTTAGAGTACAGGAGATTAGTCGGAGTATAACTTTTTTTCCAGATAGAAATTTATAATTTTGCTCCTGGTTTACAGCTTCGAAAGTGTTAAAACAATTGAAAAAATCACCAAGTCCAAGTTCTAATAAAAATTTACTTGAAATACAGTCTTCAATCAACCTTTTACATTAACAAATGTTTTGAGATGTATGAATTTTTTCATCACATGTCTTAGCTCACTGAATGGTAACATTTGTAGCTGGTTTAATCTGTTTTAACCATGACAGTAAAATCTTGTCACTTCACAATTTGTACTTGAAGCACATTATCAGTCTGTTAAAATTAAGATGAGACATGAGGTGATAATGACATTTTTTACAAAACGTTACTATTTTTTTAAAGTAAGGTTTATTTGTATTCTGCTTGTTTAATCATAAAAACTTCTCAACAAACTATCCTTTGGATATATTGTCATACTTCACGTTTGCACCACCATGTATACACTACCTAGCTAATAACATTGAAAATTATGCAAAGAACGGCCACCATCAAATGGACTTGCTCGATATACTTCAATAAATAAGAATTCCTGTTCATTGTAGATAAATTACCTCAAAGTCATATGGAAAATGTGCCAATTTGACGATGTGAATTCTCTAAGTCCACAATAAAAAGAAGGCTATTTACAATTTTTATTATGACAAATGTAGCATTAATTGCACATTTATTAAACGATCTTCTAAATTCTAGATTTACAGAAAATTACAAGTGTTTTTGATCTCTCTCCTTGCTAAGATACTGGAGATTTCCTCTTCAGTGTGAACATCCTTCAAAAGCCCACAAAGATCATTTTGTAGATTAGAATTAAATTTTGAATACTTTTTACTTAGAATTGCATTTTAAAAGTTGCTGTATCACTTTTTTCTACGAGAAAATTTCCCAATATAGATAAGCAAATAACGTTACTAATCTCAAAACTTAAAAACGACGACTTTATTCATTGATTTCAATAAATTACTCCCACTGATATCAAAATAAATAAATATAATTTTTTGGGTTGTATTAGAAAAGCAAGTGAGTCCAAAAATCTCATTTATGATTCAAACTGCGTCTTAATTGATGATTGTCAAATGGCTTGATGACCTCCATTAAAAAGTGCACGTGAATCAGACCAGGCCACTTACGACTTAAGCCACAAGATTGAGCAAGAATAACGCTGCTGCTGAAATATCGCTTACAGAACTCAATGGCTGTATCATGTTTTCTCAGATATTATAGCACGGACCACACTATAGAGGGCCGAAGTTATAACTTATAGTTGGGTGGGAGAGGGGGGTATTCATATCTTCAATTGTTGTCGACTGATTTCTTGTGAAAGCCAACGTAGTCTACATTAAACATACAAATACAGATAAACAAATAGACCAATAAATAGAGAGGCAGATGGAAAAATATAATATTGATCTGAGAATTTGTTGTGAAAGCTTGGAAATATTTTGCTCAATTGCTCTTTTTAACTTTATTTATTGGAGATCTCCAAAGGAGAGTTCTGTTATACAAAAAATTTTTCAAATTAGTAAAGCGTGATTGTGGTAGCTAAAGACAATTGAAATGTTCTGAATCACACATAAAATACAAAAAAGATGTTACGGCGTTTGAAGCTGGAAATCGATAATTTGCTTGCATCGTTCGTGTTGCTTATCTTGTCAATTATATTATACTTTAACCTTACAACATCATGATTTCTTTCACATGTTTCTGAAACAGACAAGAAGATTTCATCAAAAAGACGGAAAGATATAATAACGATTTAAATTGCTTTTTTCTGTGGTGTTAAATATTTATTGAATTGCATGATTCCTTTTCTACCTGAGTGAAAATTTCATCAAAAAGTAAATTTTCTCGATAACGAAAACCCTGACACAATAGACACATGACAGACAAATTTTTTCTCGTAAATAAATCATCATAAACTTAATAAAATAATTGAAAACTGCAAAAACCATCTTCAATTTGGCAAAAGTAAAACAATACCAGCAATGTTGCACGAGAATAAAAGAACACGAGGTAGAACTTGAGTTTGCAGAAGTAGAGATAACAAGGTTCACTTTACCAAGGTGAATAAGAGAAACAGTACGTGTCAGATAATTTACAGTTAAAGCATAAAATGTCTATAAAATGAAAATTTTGCAGCCTGTGTTATACTTTTATTGAATAGAAATTTTAATATGACAACGGTATTTCTCTACTAGTTTATGCGTATCTCTTTACATTCTCAAGATATTGAAGCTTTTATTATGTTCGATTCATCTAACTTGTGACGTCACATTGCATAATGAGAATTAGAATAAATTTACTTCAACTTTGCAGTGTTTCTTTCTTTGTGATGTGTTAATGATTTAAAATACTGCTTACTATTATGAACTTAAAGTTGTCAGGAAAATGAAGTGTATTTAAAACATGGCAGCGACTCATTTTGCATGCAATATGATGTCACAAGTTGCATAAACTGCTAATAGCAAGGACTTCACTTCAGTTATTTTAAAATGAAAGAGTCATACATAAAAGGTTTTAGAAAGCATTCATTTCAAAAGTTCTGGTCAATGTAAATATAATTTAACTAGCAAAGTTTTCGTTTCATTGGCACTTTAATGGTGTTCAAACAATGTTTGAGAGAATAATTGTTGAGTTTTCGCCGCTGATCGAACTTCAATGTTCATATTTGGTATCAAACATAAGACAGTCTATCTAAGAGATGAGTGTCGAGAATGGAAAGAAAAATTATATGAAGCTATTTTGTTATTTGCTGCTATAAACAAATTTTTAGACTCTAAAAAATATGCTCTCAAAATTTAAATTTCATGTTTTCGAAAAACGTAAGGTTATTTCCCAAAAAATATGAAATTACTGCTGAAAGAAGTTTTTGTGATTAAATGTATGGTATAAGCTAGCCTCAAATGTTGCCAGATTTGATTTTACAATTAAAGAACTTATGATTTGTCTAATGGTTGTTGATAAGTTTTTTCAAAAATGTACGGTAGCTAATGATATCCTTTCCTGATTGGGAAAGTTTGAGCTTTTTGACGTATTAATTTCGTTTCCTTTACCCTTGAATGTAATATTTTTATCTAGAAGAGTGGAAATACATTGGTGAATCAACGAAACATGAAAAATTGTTTTTAAAATTGATTGAATATGGACGCAATTCCAGCGTTCATGTTAAAGAGGTGGGCAATGTACGAGTAATTTTTTCAAAAGAGTTTTGCATTGGCAAAGGAAGTGGTGCAACCCGTGTTTATCTTGGACTGGGTAAGGATGGTTATGGTAAAGCAGTGAAACGAATACATCGAGATAGCCACATCCAGCTTGCACAGCAAGAAAAGAAAATTTTAAATAATTTCAACGCAAAGAAATCGAAATATGTTGTGAATTATTCCTTCTTAGAAGAAGATACTGGAACGGAGTACGTCTATTTAATATTAGACTTATATGAGGAATCGTTGGAGAGTTTTGTGAAGTCTTCTTCTTTGAAACATCTTCAAAAAGCTCTTCCCAAAATTATTAGACAAATTTTAAATGGATTAGAGGATCTTCATAGTGGCAAAGAACATATTCTTCATCGGGACTTAAATCCCTCCAATGTTCTCCGAGACTCACAAGACGACTTTCTTATAGCTGATTTTGGCATTAGTCAAACATTGAAGAATGGTTCTACGACACATGAAAGCAGTCCTAACAAAGGAACGGAGTATTGGATTGCTCCTGAATCATATAGAGAAGATGAAAATTCCGTTGATAAAGGATGGTACATGAAAGAGTCTGATGTATATGTAGGTGTATGTTGCAATACGGTTCTTGATTTGTGAACTATTTAACATTGATCCGTTTAACACTTAAAATATAATAAGTACATGTATTTTTCTTTTTTTCAGCCCGCTGTCTGAGCTTTCTAGAAACCTAAGGTCCCTGAGGGGGAGAGGGTTTTACAAGCAATATACTACATTATTATAATAGTATAGGAATATAACTGTTTTACTTCATGCATATATACAGTCAAGTTGTGAAATTACAATGTTAATCTTAGAATGCAGGAATGGTAGCTTATTATGTTGCAACAAAAGGAGAACATCCTTTTGGAATTCAACGCTATAGACTGGACAACATGCTGAAGGGAGACCCTGTTGGTTTGAAAGAAATCAAGGATGAAACGTTAAAAGACTTTTTGTCGTGGATGTTAAATCGACAACCCGAAGACAGACCAACAGCTAAAGAGGCGTTAAAACACCCATTTGTTTTGACGAATGACGAGAAATTTGACTTATTATGTAAAGCTGGAAATCTTGAACAGATTAAGACAAATGATTCCAAGTCAATTGTTGTTCAACAATTGAATAGTGAATCCTCAAATTGGAAAAGTAAAATAGACAGAGATATTTATGATTATTTTAGAACGAACGTGACGACTGGAGAGATTTTTAGGTATGGATCATCATGGACAGAGTGCTTGAGACTTATTCGAAATACTCGCGAACATTGGTACAATCAACGACGACCTCTACCACAACCAAAACCATTTTATAAGATTGGTGATTACAAGGCGTATTTTCTCAAAAAATTCCCCAATCTCCCTGTTAGAGTGCATGCTACTGTGAGGTCCAATGAAAAATTGAAAAACCATCCAGAACTCAAGAACTTTTTAAATTTCAGTGAAAAGAAACCGCATCAAAAATAAACAGTTTTTAAACAGTAAAAACAGTTTGTGAAAAGGCAAGCCTACAGGAAGAATTTGTAGATACTGTTGTAAATTATAATTTCCTCAGATTGGAAAAACAAATACATTTTGACGTATATCATTATTTAAATGTCGGCTTTCCTAGATAAATCGATTGCGACCAACACTAAAACCATCCATTGTGTAAAGTCGATGATACTTAGGAGTTCTTTCTGAAATCCCCGTCAGGTAAAATGACGAATAGAAAAACAACCCAGAACTTAAGAACTTTTTCAGTTTTTAATGAAAGCGGACCACATCAATGAAAAGTTTATAGGCAGGAAAACAAATTAGAAATCATCCATACGGCAGTTAAGGATGTTGTTTTATAGGTGTAAAGTAAAAACACTTTTCACGACATATTTGGATGATACCTAAACACATTTGTGCATGGTGAATCTAGCTTATATTACTCATTGATAAAATTTCTGATTATTTTATTTTTACTCTCAATTGCTTTGGTTAAAGACGTATGACAGTTAACTTTTATATAAATATGTTTGATTTCACTGCAAAATGTACACTTCGCCCATCAAACAACTCTTTTACAAAAGTAAATGGTGTTTCTGAAATTATAGTAATGACTAAGGCCCCGTTTGCGTGCACTGTCCGGGATTGCTATCAAAGCAGGTTTAATTTTCTAAGTATTGAAAGGCAGTGATAACGTTCAATGTCTGAAACACAATTAAATAGTCAACTTAATAAATGTTTAATCTCAACAGATTGATCCCTTTTAAAGCAAATGAAGATGTCGTTATTAGCGAATCCAATATAGTGTAAACGCAGTGTTCTACTACAACTGATTTTTTTTGAATAAGTCAATATCAATATTTTGCTCGATAGTTAATAATTTCTTGTGAATACGCTAACTGATAATTTTTCATTGGAAATGATTGTTGATGGATCGAATAATCGTCCAGGTGGTTCTCTAGGAAAGAAAATTAAGCCATTCCTAGAACGTAAAGGGGGGTAGTAGTGTGGTGTGTATTGATGTAAGTGGTGTCTCAAAAAAACAGAGCCGGCATAGGTTAATTATGTATTCACTGAAATTATCATGCATAATAATGTACTCAACATTCAACGACAGTTTATGTACTTGACAATTCTGCACCTGTGGGATTTCTTAGTGCTTGTACAGTATTACTTCAAGCAAAACAAGTTAAATATACTGTCCTACATTGATTTTCATCTCAAATTTATTTCGCAAAAGCTTTGTAAAATTAAAGCGACATTAACTGAGTTATAACTGCCACAAAACGTAAACATATTTTCCATAAGTTGCATTGAATATGAACTAAATAGCGTTTAAACAGACTGAGAAAATATGTATTTCATGTTATTTCATGAAAATTTCATTTTTATGAATACTTATATTGTGGGTTCACTCTGTATACGTGCCCTTCTGGGTTTTTTTCATGTTAATTGACTATATGAGCGCAACTGAATGTATGAGTAAAGCCCATCTTGATTAACAATGTAGAGACGACCCTGGACACGAGATACTTTTATTAATTTTTTTGCTGGATCATGTCCATGGACGAAAGTAGAACGCAAAAATGGGGAGAGGGGTGAAAATATTTATGTATTCAGCTCTGCCTATTGATATCTTCTGAAAGCAATTTTAGGCTGGACAAAGCTGATTGTATGAATTATTCACTCAGTGTACCCGAGAGGTGTATTAGGAGGAACGCTCAGCCCCGCTTTATAACTCTTCAACACTTTATAATTTCAAATTGTGAAGAATTTTTTTATTACAAGCAGTAACAAACATACGTTTTTTGATCGTCTGCTTTTTATGCCACAAAGCTCCCCTGTAAAAATTTTGGTTATACACCGCTGCTCTACCTCCTTCCCCTCAATTAGCTTTCTATTTTTGCCCGTGTTCATGTCTATTCATTGATTTGAAAAATTGGTATGCTTGTAAGAATCTAGCAATCATGTCATAAACGTTTACAAAAGAAGCCAAATATTTTGGTGTTCTTCTTATATCCACCTTCTTTACTCACACAATTCCACTATCATTGTGAATACAAAACATCAACATATGGTCACTGTGTGTTAATTATTTGCTTTTGACAGAGAAGTGTTCAAATCTAAATATTAGGGATAGGACGAACATAGGTTTCTAAATCTAATACTTCAAAGGAAAAGAATGTTTTAGTCTCACAATTTGCAGGAATAAAGATGACAGTATCGTTTACATGTAACACTTTGTCAAAGAAAGAGTGCTCTGTTTAAACAAATATTTAGGTAATTTGAACGTTAAGTATGTCTGGAACTTTAAAAACGCAAATTTTTGTCTTTGCTTTAAAAATTAAAACTTCTCAGCATTGCCATGACTTTGGCCGATTTTTGACATTCTATTTAAGAAATATAAATTGTCGTTCAATGTTTGAATAGTAAATCCTCAGATTGGAAGAGTAAAATAGACAATGATGTATATAATTATTTTAGAACAAATGTGGTGAATGGAATAATTTTTATATATGACTCTTCATGGACAGAATGTTTAAGACCTATTCGAAATATTAGCCGACATTAGAACGATCGACCATGGCCAAGACCAAAACCAGAACCATTTTATAAGATTGGCGATTACAAGGCGTATGTTCTCAAAAATTCCACAATTTCCCTGTTCCCAATGCTATTGTGAGGTCCAATGAAGAATCGAAAAACAATTCAGATCTCAAGAACTTTTTCAATTTCGGTGAAAAGAAACCACATCAAAAATAAACAGTTTTTAAACAGTAAAAACAGTTTGTGAAAAGGCAAGTGAACATGAAAGATACCGTGTAAAATAGAATTTACTCGGACTGGAAAAGACAAATAAATTTTTTACGTATATTATTATTTTCATTGTTGGCTTTCATTTTATAAAGTCGACGATCCTAAAGAGTTCTTTTTGAAATCCCAGTTCGGGTACGTGCGGCTGTCTGGTGAAATGACGAATTGAAAAACAACCCAGAACTTAAGAACTTTTTCAGTTTTTAATGAAAGCGAACAACGATGAAAAGTTTACTGACAGGAAAACAAGTAAGAAATCAACGATACGGTAGTTAGAGGTTTTATTTTATAGATGTAAAGTTGCAAAACACTTTTCACGACGTATTTGAATGATGCATAATCACATTTCTGCATCTAGCTTACATTATTGAATGATACAATATCTGAATATTTAAATTTTATTCTCAATTGCTTTTGTTGAAGACGTATGACATTTAAAGTGAAATTCATAAAATACATAATAAAACTCTTATACGATAGTAAATGGTATTTCTGGAGTTACAATATTACCAAGATCCCGTTTATTAAAGTATTAAAAGGCAGTGATAATGGCCTATACCAGAAGCACAATTAAATAGACTTAAGCTCTGAATTTAATAAACATTTATTACAAAAAAACAAATGAAGCTTTTACAGCAAATGAAGAGTGAATCCGGTGTAGCACGCAGCTTAAGTGTCTGGTCTTGAATGTTATGGGTTCTTGGGAGTTGCTCATGCTGTAAACCTAACCATCGTCTGTTGAGCAACTCCATAGATAGAATTTTGGAGTGCTTTTTTGTTTTACTATCTCACATTAATTACGTAGCTAATCAATACAAAACAGTTGAATTAAATAACATTTTTTATGTAATCAACAGAATTTCTTCTAATGGATTCATTAATATTTTAATTAGTTTTGTGGAAAATATTCATAGTTCTCATTATTTTTTATGATATTTTCGTTTGTTTCATATATTTTAACCCTAATATTTATTTCGTATCTGCATCCATGCAACTAACATTCAAATACTTTATATTTAAGATTTATTAAATGAATATTGAGTATACAGGTAAGGTTAACTACCGCTCTCTGTATCACCTTAATCTAAAAACTCTGTTACACCCACATTCATTGAATAAAGTTTCAAAATAATCTTATAACTGCTGGAAGACCTTGTATTCACTCCACTGATTACTTGATTTGAAATATTTCACCAAAAATCTTATACCACTGATTGAGGGGGAAATGAATTTGCATTGATTAGTACGATCAAGACTTTTGTGTTGCACACATTGAGGAATAGAGTTTTTGTGAGTTTCTAGAATACTGGCGTATAACTTTTTCGACAACTTCACGAACATATAGTGGATGGTCAATTGAAAGAATTACTTGATGCCTAAGGTTTAAGGGAGGCCACTGCGTTTCAGCACTTATTTGACATCTTTTTCAACTTTGTCTATTCCTGAGGCAAAATATAACCTGTAAGTAATTGTAAATTTCGGCTTTATAACATTTTCATTCGTAAAATTTCATAAATACAATAACTCCAACGTATTTGAATTAGGCCATCTATTAAAATAATATTGGGCCATCCAAACACGGAAGTCATTAAAGTTTATATGAGCAATTATCATATTCTCACCAAAGATAGGGCGTGAAAAAAAACAATTCAAATGATGTAGTATCAATGGAAAATTTTTTGAAATTCAAGAAACATTTGGGTCCAAACATGCAGGAAATTAAGAATTTTTGAAATCATCAGTTTCACGGCAGTAATTCCGACATCACTATTTTATAAAACATTACCACTTTTTTCTTTAACTACAATGAACGCTTGTGTAGCCGTTTGGTAACTGTAACTGTCAAGACAACGCAATCTATGATGTGGGATCGAGGCTTGGCCCTGTCATTGACATATAAGTTCTACCAACTTTGTCATATTCTTTTCTTGTACGATATATTTATGACTATTATAGACATCAATAATTACATTAAAGACCATTACGTCATATTTGTATGGTTATGAAGCCTTGCGCACATTTTTTATAGTGTAAGGTTTATTCAATAGAATTTTCTCTAAAAAAAGAACATATGATTGCGCCGTCTAATTGGAAGAAGAATAGAGATATTTATCAAAAAGTTTGCTTTATGGAATGGTTTCCCACGTTGGCTTACATACAAATTGATCAACATCAACACAAAACTTCTCAAACTACCGTGAACACATCATATGATGTCATTTACATCCATCTACTTTTAGTAGATGATAAAAGTTGTAGAGTTGTTGAAAGTTGCATGCGGAAGATTTATATATTTTATTATCTGAGACCCCCAGATCATTTGCTAGGTATCCGCACATTAATGTCACATGAAAGCACTCAGTAATAATTGTGTGACAGTTTTAGTTTAAAGTTTTGTACCAATAGCATCATTTAGCTTTTGTTAAACTATTTAACTTTGCAGACAGCATATACTATAATAACAAAGGAACGTAGTAAACTACTAAGTAATAAAGAACATGCTACAGCTTTCACCAGCCCTTTAAACATAACGTTACTAACATTAAAAATAACACGATTTATGTAATTCATAATAGTGCAAGAGATTTTTCATGAATTGACCAAGGCAGACATCATTGCCTCTTAATCTAGAGTCTCCTGCTTTTATTTAAGTATGATTTTAGAAATGTTCCTGTTTTACAGAAAGTTGTAACATATGATAGCTAGATTGCACAACCGTGTTTTACTTTTGCTGCAAGAATTGGTTGGCAATGGTAACAAGTCTTCATCAATTTTCACAAGACTATGAATTATTTGGTACTCATTTACATAACACACGTCATTCTTTTTTAAATGTCATACGTAGTCGCACATAAATCTAAGTATAACATCGGACTGAATTGTAAGAGATATTCTTTATATGCATGAACTTAGTAAGTATGTAAGATTTATAATTCATGCAACGGTACACAAACCACCTGCTAAAATTTAATATCCACTAAAGGACCACCTTTCACTGGAGGGAAACGAACGTACATCGTAATCCCATTTGCTTCCAAAATCGAATGGAAGTGTCAATAAACAAATATGAACATTTTCAGAAAGCAAAATTTTATTAAATTAAATTGAAGCATTCGTATGTACAGTGTACTATAATGTCATAAAAAATTGCTATTCTCTTCTACACATAAACTATTCGTCATAAAAATCATCTTCTTTACTTTTAAGACTTCTTTCAAATGAATGAATTTCAAAAAAATTCGTTTTCAGACTGGACCATAAATTATAACTGAGAACATACTTATATTAAACATACAAATAACTATAACTGCTTTTCCTATTACAATGTACAATTTGAGATGTTTACGTTAGAACTGATTAAAAAATTTCAACTATAATATGGGCAATTCTAACACAAGAACAGTGTATCGGGAATCGAGCCCGAAGACTAAATTGTACCGTCCTGAGAAGATGTGTGTGACATTTTTGGTAAACTAAAGCTGTTTAGACTAAATGAAACAGATCATAGATTTATTAAATCGTTCAGAAATTTTATCTTCCGAAGATTGTCAGACGGTCAAAAATGGTTCGTGTTGACGTTAACTTTATCGGGAGCACGTACTCTAAACAACTTCTTTTACAAAATGAATTCTGTTTTTAGTTTATATGATTGTATATAACATGAAGTACAACTTTAGTCGCTTACCAAGGACACTGTTTTTTTAGACTTTACCGAAATAAAAAATCTTTAATGGAAAAACATAAATGGTATAAACCAAGACCGAACACAAAGTCACGAGAAGTTGGAGAATACTTAACAGAACGAAACCACTAAGTCTTTTAGGGATTTTAGTCATGTCTGTCCAAAGTGAGCTCGTCCTATAAATCGATCAAGATACCAGTCCCACGTTCGTCATCTGAGCGTAGCAACTACTCGCCGTAACTACAGTGCATGCCTATACTATCTAAACTTTCTACCTGCGCATAACACCGGAATTCCGCCCTGAAAAAGAATGCTCCTGAAGGAGGTAACCCATCATACCCTTAACTTAACCTAGTGCATGTCGCAACTACGGGTGACCTACAACCGGGTGACAACTCAAGCATTATAGGGTATCCAAGAGTGCCTTAATAGTCAGTGTAGAAAACCGTTCATGAAATTGGCCAACTACAAGGACTGCATGCTTTTACCATACTAAGGGAGAGATATTTTTCCTTTACACCAGAACTACCATCTTTCCTTTGTCTTCAATAGGTCTTGCTCGCTAGATCCTGTCTTCTATGGTCTTCTTACAGATGCCATTTGCATCCTCTACGCTAAGGTACTATTTGTACCCATTAACCACAAGTAGAAGTTGTCTTCCTTTGGCCAAACTTAACTTGCATTTCCGATCTAATCTATATGATCCTATTTATCCTTCTGCGAGGCAACGTCCGTGGCAAGCATCCGTAGCTTCTTAATGCCGTATATTCACACAGAGGCTTCCGAAGATAAATCAAGTAAAACCGACACAAATGCATGTCAATAACAGGCTAATAACCGCTGATGCAATTTCACGTTTACTAATTAAGACACAAATTTTACTAATGAGCACCGAACACAAAAAATTTTTTGAGTTAAACTGAAAAAACTTTTAAAACCTTTTAATGAAGGCTATTTTTGAAATGCAGGGAAAAAACTACTATGAAAATGTGTATTTAATCTTATACCTGCTCAGAAAAAAATAGCCCTATAGTGGAATATACTGCGCACCAGGATTTGTTGTGGCTTTTGCCTTTTCTGAAAAAGACATGGCCTGTTGGCAGGCTAAACTACGTACAAATCATAATTGAAACTCACGGTTTTCGAGGAATCCGTTGCCAAGTTTAAGGAAAGGACGATGAATTTTTCTTTCCTTTATTACCATGAAGTGAACGGATGCTGAGCACGTGAAATCATTCAGAATCCAAAAACAATTTTTGTCGTTGTTGGTACATCCATCGTATCCAACTTTCCGGCTACCTGACAAACATCCCCGGTTTAGTGTCGACGACGGCAAGCACAGAAGCAAGATTGGCTATTTCTTACAACTGTGCTTGTCATCTACGGCATGAAAGCGGAAACATCGACAGATAGTCAGAAAATTAGGACTTTTGGTTTTCTTTTGCATGCTGAAAAAATTCCATGTTTTTATTAGGAAAATTTTCTAATTAATTAATGTAGAAATTTTGCTGGTCGATGGTGGCGTGGTTTTAATCATCTGCAAAGCAAGAAAAACTATTGATAGTGACTTTGAGGATTTGCGGGTATTTTTGCTGTTGTGTTGTGAATAGTTTAAGATAATTATTCTTACGATGATATTATAGATATATCGTCGTATATACTTCGCATGTCTTTAGGATTGGCGGATTGACCAGTGAGAATCGTATCTTAGTTATATATAATACCCAGGATAGTAACGTTTTGAACTGCCTCAGTCCAATAGTCCAATAACCTTGGTCATATTCCAATAGGACAGGGACTTGTTTATGGACATAAAAGTTGAGCTGATGGAAGCATTGATTAAGAGCAACATGTTCTATTTGCGATTATAGTATGTGATGTAGACGGATTGATGGACAAAAGATGTCTCGTGTTTTCTAACGTCATTAAAGTATATACTGTCCCATCCTTGATCATTGTTCTGAGGACTTGATTGCCCATTCTTGTTGATTGTTCGGAGGACTTTATTCAAGTATATTATTTATTCTTGATAAGAATTTCTATACAATAAGATAATAGAAGATAATGTCAGCTTACAATATACTGCCAGCAAAATTAATGACAAAAATTAATAACGTAAAAAGTACTTACTTTGAGAAATGGAGAATACCAATGAAGTATTGTATTCCATTCCTTTTACTCCAATGCTAGCATTGCAATTCTAATGTACGATCTTGTGCGTATACAAATTATGGTTTTTGCAGTCTTTTAGAGGAATTTTATCTCATTTTCTTTTGTCTTTAATGCATTCGGCGCATATAAAGTTCAACATTTGAAAATGTCAATGAAATTATCACTAATAAGTTGATTATGTATTAAACTTCATTCTGTAAAAATAAGCATGAACGGCAAAATTTTTTTTCGTTTACTAAGGGTAATTAAAGATTGGAAATTTAATCTTTTTTTTCTCTTTATTTATATTTATGTCTCATTTCACATCGTTCGTTCACTTTGGTGACTTTATTTTTTAATCTTTTGTCAACGCTTGGTTTTATTTGACACCTGCTGAGCTGAGCGTTTCAATTTAAACTAAAGCTGTTTTTTGTAGGATTTCATCTTTCTCACGCATGAGTTTGGGGACGTAAGATTAAAGATGGGGGTTGCATGCAGGTGGGGATAAAACATTCGTATTCGGCAAGATCGAATGCCTAAACTATGTTTATAATACTATACTAAATTTTCACTTGTAACATAGCATAAATATATTGTCTAATTTATCATATAGCTAGTTCCTGTAATTAGTATAGTGTAGAACACAAGTTTTAGCCTGTGTTTTTACCATTTTAGCCTGCTACAGCTACCACAACCCTCGAAAATACTCTCCCATTTACAAACACCTACAAAATACTAACTGAAAATTCCAACACTCACTTTGTGTTTGACAATCTTAGACGATGAAAATACCCTTAGCACAAGTTAACTATCTACACAATAAACGCAAACACAACTAGACCTGAACAAATTGTAAATAATTTACTCCTTTTACGGTTATAATGCATGCAGGGAGGTATAAAGTTTACAATTGGAAACAATATGCAACAAAGGGTTGCATCGAAGCAAATTTATGGGTAAAACTGTCATTATTTTATTATGATACATGCTAAAGACATGGGCTTAGAGATTGATAATCAAAAGGTGGGTATGATTTTCACATATTCATGTCATATAATTCGTTAAAACAATGAATTTCAAAAGAATTCAAGACAACAAATCATGCATATATGAATATGAACCGCCCAATATACAATTTTCCCAACTTTTGCTTTTCTGTAAAATATCCTTAACATATGATTTCTAAGAACAATCAAAAATTACAATTTCTAAGAATAATAAAAAATTAGAATTTCGAAGAGCAATCAAAATTACTATTTAATGATTACATTATACACAAAAGCATACTTGTATAAGATAATTGTCCAAAGAAAACTATTTTGTTAAAAATCATTATGTGAGAGCCATTGCTGTCTCCATCATTTGAATAATGATGATTTATACGTTGTATTTACAGTTACACTCAATCTCAGGTGAGGTCAATTATCATTTAGTTCAGCAATCACTTATTTGTTCTATGTTAACAGAACGTTTCCCAATCATTGCTTCCGCTGGCGATATCTGCAAAATTCAAAAAACGTTAATGAGACTTGTTGAAGAATCAAGGTCATTTCAACTATATAAATGTAGTTTCGTTCAGTAGAGGACGGTTACAACAGTTACAGCAGTTATATCTCTATTTTAAAATACTTTGCAGTTAACCCTATTTGAGCTATTTTGGTTAATTCTTATTTTATATTCTGTGTTATCTTTACGATTATCTAGGTGTAGGAACGTATCTTTTCATTACGGCTTATGATTGATTCCAAGTACAATGGAGTACAATACGCAATAGAAATAATAAAGATCGAGTAGTTTATTGTTATCGCCAGTACACAATCGGAGAATACACTCATATTATATTATATAGTTACCACATTATTTAGGGGCTGCAAGTACAATACTTCAAAACACAACAAATGTTATTTTCAGTGATATCTGCAGGGAATTTGTTAGCTGGAATTCAAATGATAAACGCCAATAGCACACATGTGTCAAGCTTACGTACGTTACGTATTGTAAATTATTAATCGATTATAGAAAGTTCTTCACCTTTCTAAACTTCGCCCATTTCAGTTGTTTCCTCGTGGTATTCATCAGTTACTCTCATAACTGCCTCCCACCAAAGATTACCATTAAGAGTAAATGTGCGACCAGTGGCTTTCTCGTATCGGAAGATATGAGGTGTATACGGTTTCGACCAGGTATTTGTAAAACGGTCGTACTTCATAACGTCGCCCCAAAATGGACGCATAACTTTAAATCTCACTTCGACATTTGTTGCGCTTGCAGAAATATTCACTCTCTCTCCATCACCACTTACTTCTTCTGTGACTTTTCTTTCGTTTAAATAATAGGTTACAATCATCTTTGAGATCCACGGACCTTTGGAGTAATATTGAATGGTTTTTCTGGTCAACTGCTCTTGGCTTATATCGTCGAGAATTGAGTGTTGTTGGGTCTTTGACGCAAAATTTTCATTATTTGAGCAGGTTGAATTTCTTTGAGGGCAATAAATTTCGTCAGTTGATAAAACCCATTTCTTTTGTTTCTCCATACTCATTACTGACTCCCATGACTGCCTCCCAACAAAGATTACCACTAAGAGTAAATGTGCGATTTTTGCTTTTGGTATCGGAAGATGTGAGGTGTATATGGTTTTAACCAGGTCTTGTTAAAACGGTCGTACGTCATGACATCACCCCAAAATGGACGCATAACTTTAAATCTCACTTCGACATTTGTTGCGCTTGCAGAAATATTCACTCTCTCTCCATTACCACTTACTTCTTCTGTGACTTTTCTTTCGTTTAAATAATAAGTTACGATCATCTTTGAGATCCATGATCCTTCGGAGTAATATTGAATAGATTTTTTGGTCAATTGTTCTTGGCTTTTTTTTATCAGCAATTGAGCGTCGCTGTGTTTTTGACGCAAAACGTTCATTATTTGTGCAGGTTGAATTACTTTGATTGAAATCGATTTCTACTGTTGATGAAAAGTTTCTCTCTCTTTGAGAGTCATGTGTCAGGGGTTTTGTAGATGCTCCATACTTCACGGGAAATTCGTTTTCTCGATTTATGTGACGACCGATTATTTTTCTGCCATTTTCGTATACAGTATTTCGTTGACAAATTAATGATTCACTTATAGTTATCCCTTCGATATCGTTGCAATTCTCGGGTCCAAGAAGCTTTTCTTTATTTTTATTGTCTATATGCGCAAAAATTTCAAACTTGTATGATTCCTTATGACGATAGCAATGATTCTCTGTTGGTTGGAGTGTTTTGAAGAAGTCGGAAACTTGCAAAAAGGAGACCAACTTTTGTAATAGTTTACAGTGATTTTAACATTGGAATGGTTTTCAACGACTAAGCATTTATATTGATCATCCGCCATTGAGTTTTGTTTTTTGAACTCTTGATTTATCCAATTTTCTTTATGACACACTGTCGTCTTAATGTTCAAAGTTCTGCTTAATATGTCATCACATTAGTTCCTAAGAAAAAAAAATCATTGTAAACTGAAGTATTAACATTTTTAATTGCAGACTTGGAGATTGCAGATTACGCATATAAATTAATGAAAAGAATGGAAATCTAATCTTCATAATGTAGGAGGCAATGAATTAATGATAGCGGCTACTAAAGGAGTTAAATTTAGTTTTAGTGATATCATGTACAAACAAATTGATGGGGTGGCATTGGGTTCTCCTCTTGGACCAGTATTTGCTAATATTTTCGTAAGCTATTATGAATGTAAGATGTTTGCCTCTTCTGGGCCTCCAGATGTGCTGTGGTACAAACGTTACGTTGACGACACCTTTTCCCTTTTTCGTAACAATAAAAATCGCCAATTCTTTTTACATAAACTCTGTTCTTTTCACCCTTCTTTAAATTAAACGTCTGAACATGAATCAAATTGTCAGTTAGCGTTTATGGATGTTCTGTGCATATACACAACGGTCAATTCCTTACAAGCATTCATCGCAAGGCAACTTTTACGGGTTTGTACACACGCTTTAACTATTTTTCTTCACATAGAGAAAAGACTTCTTTAGTAAAGTGTTTAATAAAGCCAAAGCTTAGACTGTCATCAAAGGAACTCATTGAGGGTGATCTCAACTATTGAAAAAGATATTTCTCTCAAATGGATATCCGGAAAAAATGCTTGATAAACTTTTTTCATCCACAAAAAATGAGCAGAACATGCCTTTTGGACCAGCTAAGTGCCCTGTGTTTATCAAACTTTTATGGATGTGATGATATTGAAAGAGGAAAGAAGAATATTACGGAGAATTTATTTTTTGCAAGCCATGCTATCTTTCTATTTTCGAAAAGAACTATTCTACCACCTACCACAAAGAATCTCTACCGGCACCACTTTTAAGCAATGTAATTTACGAATATAAATATGAGTGTGATGCTCGCTATGTAGGTAGAACGTCTCTAAGGTTGGGTGATAGGATCGAACAGCATGTAACAACTTCAATCAGAAATGGAACGGTCCCCTCAAGACAACAACCAACACGTCATTGTAAGAAAAGTAATTTAGTTTCATGTGACTCCGCGATAGGTAAACATCTCTTGAATAACTCCGATTTTGCTGATTCTTATTCAGAGGACAATTTTAGAATAATTACAAAATGCCGTTCAATCTTTCAGTTACGCATCATGGAGGCTGTTTCAATCCCGTCCTCTGCCGACAAAAGGTTTATGTCTTTAATTTATCCCTGTTTTGAGCGTCATCTCCCCTTTTGGAGACGTACACCCTTTCTTGGCATTATAAATATTGGTAGATTGTAAATTTTCATTTAGCAGACGTTGACACCTGAGGAGTAGTCTGCCGAAATGCATCGTGTCGTTTAATTTAGAACTATTGGGTTAGTGCTCTTTACTTAAAACAGTTCTTTTAAGAACTATCAACTTATTATATTACTTTTACCGTTCACTAGGATGTTCTCTATCTTTGGAATTATTTTCAAATTTGTCCCCACGACAAAGTCCCTATTTTATTATTTAAGAAAGCGCTATAATGGTCGTCAGGTTCGTGACCTGAATAAATTGGTGAGACTTAGAGGAAAGGTTCGTTCGGTGGTAGCAGCAATCCGGAATTTTACGATAACTGACCGAGCGCCCCGCACTCTTATGGCTAAGTACGTCAGCAAAAGTGCTTTTTTATTTTATTTTGTTTTGTTTTTTTTTTTGAAAAATATATCTTCAAATCACTTTTAGTTGTTATACTTATCTGTAAATGTGCTGATTTGCCAATGATCTCATTGATTTTTTCTGTATATACCTAAGTCAAAATAACTAATAGGAGAACTGCATTTGAATTATGTCTACAAATCATAAATGCATGAAGCAAGTTTAAAATTGAGTTGTAATTTCAACATAATTTTCATGTTTCATAGTCCCATATTCTCATCGTGTTCATTTTTTAGTAATGTTTTCAAATATTCTCATAAATCCTTCAAGATTATTTAAATGTTTAAAAACACAACCTCTATATTTACATCATTCATCGTCAAGATTGTGAAACTCTGTGCAATATAAGTACTAACAATCTCTTTGGAAGTTTCTAGCAACAATGAATAAAACACTCCAATACTTGGATGAAATGTTTATTTATAAAATAGAGATGCAGCTTACAGGGCCTTTTTAAGTTTTTTTCGATCAAGACTATCATATTTAATTATCCTTATATGGTTTTCCTAAAGCCCAATGAAATATGAACCAATCAAAAATCCAGTTTATTAAAATTTCGTTTTAAATGAGTAATATAAGGTTAAATAGTTGGAACGCTACTGAATAACACAAATATAGCATAATGCTATTTTTGTGTTTCTTAATAACATTGCGACTATTTAACTTTATATTTATCGTCATATTGGCAAGCGGAATGCTTATGAAAATCTATGTTAACATCGGTATAAGATTCATTTTTTCAGTATGAAGCGGGATGCTTTCACTGAAGAAAATCATGTATTGCCTAACATTAACATCGGTATATGTTACTGTATATTTAATATTGATCGAAACAAAATGAACAAGAATATTCAGTTGATTAATCTCTGATAAACCTTTCACCTTTACTTGTCACAAGCTCGGCACTTAAAGCGCAAGGCTCAGGGGCGGATCTAGGGTATGTCAAATCAGTCACGCCACTGATGTTTATAGTTCCAAATTTATTTATCAAATTTAATGATTACAATTTTTTGTGATCATTAAATTTCCGTCATTCCCGGATTTCATCGTCAAAATTCTGTTTTATACATGAAAACTTATATAAATACGTTGGTACTTAGTAAACAGATCAGTGGATTTTAACATATATGGAATTATATTAACGGGCTGACTGATAAGCGGGGAGGCTCGACTGTTTCGACGGATAACGGAGTTCAAGAACGCTTATTTAAGCCATTCTATTGGACGATCTGGAATAATCTCGACCGATAAGCGGGGTGGCCGGACGGATAAGGGAATCCAATTGCTATCGTGTAATTGGTTAGTTTAAATTTTCGTCTTACTGTGATTGGTTTGACCGATTTCGACTGATAGCCAACTGAACTAACATAGTCAAGCTCTTAAATGAAGATATATACGACATTCCTTTCACGAGAAAACATGAGCCCAACAATATTGACCTGCTCACCACTGTGTGACTTCATAGCTCAGTTGGTCAGAGCACTGCACCGGCACCGCAGAGGTCATGGGTTCGAATCCCGTTGAGTCACCTGATTTTTTTTCAGGTCCTGAGACGATTGCTTAAATTGTCCAGCAAAGTGCGAAGATCATATCTTCATTTAATTTCAAAGACCGCACTGTATAAAACATTATATAGTCAAGCTCACTGTCTGAATTGAATGTTTCATCGTTTCATAGTAATTTTCTAAAGAATGATTGAAACTACAATCAAATGGAATTTAGGGAAATCTTTTACAAATTCATATTTTGACATGAATGCTGCTGTCCAGACTGGGAATTTTTTCAAGAGGTTGAAAAATTTATGGATGAATTGTAAATGCTTGGCAAAGACGATCTCGCGAGCGACATTTCAGTCATTGATGTTCAAAAGCAAGCCATCATTGTTTAGAGTTTTCGCAAGAGAAATTTACATCCAAAATCGTAAGTAAAGGATAACTGAAGTGTCTGCATGAATGTAATATATCAAATGCAATTTATGCGAGTATGTGATGCGATTTATGTCAATGTAGCGTATGGAAAGCAGATTGATGCTTCTAAAATTGTTATTGCCAAAGGACTTTTAGCTATGATTTCTCTAGTGCTTGGGGAATCGTAGCCGTTATATGGCAGCGAAATCCTACATTCCTGCAAGTATATTTCAATCGACAAAAAATCTGTAGCCATAAGGCGCCATAGTATTATTAACTTTATATTAAACAAATGTTTGGGGCTTTTCAGTTTATGATCATTGATCATTCAATCATTGGACAGTTGTAATATACATTGTTTTGGGTTTAAGAAAACTGATATTGATTATATGAGAAGCTGTTTACTATAACAGCTGATTATGAGTCTTTCTGATCCATGAAGCTTTTTATTTTGACAATTTGACTGGAATGGTATTAAACCTGAGTATTTCACATACATGAAATGTTGTCCCATGTCACATATTGTCCCCTTTTCTAAATGAACACCTCATGTAGAGATGTCAAGGTGTGTTGATCTACGGCTCATACCAGATTGTTTGCCATAAATTCCTAAGGGCTATTGATGTATGAAAAGCCATTTCTATAAAAAAAAATTGTGTTTCTAGGTATGCAGATAAACCTTGAAATTAGGCAAAACAGAAAAGTATTTTCATGATCACTAGGTAATTTTTATAATGATCATTATAATTTCTAAACTAAATTATTTCAGATTTACATTTAAACTAGTTTTGATCATATGAAAAGATATTTATCATGACCAGTAAACATGACAGGTGAACCAATTTTAACATTCATGTAATTATATGATTAAAGGCATGTTGGTTACATTCTGTTTGTATTTGCAAATACAATGCTACTAGTGATTGCTATATAGCACACCTTGCATATACTTACAGAAGATAATAGTCTAGTGAAAGGCCTAATAAACATTAATGGCATTAAGCTGTCCTTAATCGCAAATTTTTACTCAAATAATCTTTGTTTAATCTTTGGCAGAAAAAAATTTTGAGTTTTTTCTCAAAAGGTGAATTTGCTGGCACTGTATGTCGAGATGGGTAAAGGTTTACAATAAACTTGCATGGTTTGAAGTCTGAGCTTTTCCACATCTTTGAACTGTCCCTTGTAGTACCTCATTTCGAACTCAACTCATTACAGAGATTTGTGAATGGGGGTCTCTAGGGGGGTCTATGCCTGACAACTTGGTAGAATTTTTTAAAGACTATATCTTTTTTGGAATAGCATTATTGTAAAGAAAATTTTATGTTCCTAGGCATGATAATGAGCCTTATATTTGGCATGATAATGAGCCTAAATATTTGGCCAAACATTCAAGTATTGTTCATTTCAGGAGTTTTTTGAAAAAAACGTAAGCACAATGTGCTGTTTTTAGGACAAAACGATGCCCACAAAAAACATTTTGTATTGCTCTAAAACGCTGAAAATGGCATTTCCAACGCTTTGAAATTCAAAATTTCTCAGGAGAGAATGCCTCGGAGCCCCCCAGGTGCAGAACGCGTCCGACGTTCCATAACTGATGTTTGAAAAATCCTAGATCTGCCCCTGCCAAGGCTCTCTACATTTAAGTTGACTCGTCTCGTTCACAAGGAAAGGAGTAGCAGGTTGACATTCAAATGTTGTGAGATAAGATAGTTATTGTAAAATGAATAATTTTGTTGATCTAAAAATGAAACTGTCGAGAACTATAATAAAAATGAATGACATTCTTCAAATACAAAGATAAACGATTATATTTTTGTCTTCGAAGTTTTCATTTTTAAGAAGTGATCTCAAAATCCAAAAAAAATGTCTAATAAAACAGATGACAATTTAGCTAGTTTGGTCATAGACACGTTTTCATTCTCAAAAATGAATTCTCTTTTACTAGGAATCAATGTAATATGTCTACAATCAACGAACACGTCATCCAAACTCACCGTTTTTTATTGAAGACGATTGTCGACGATAAATTTTGTTCGTGTTTTTATTCACGCTATGCTTCTTGTACAGGAAAGATGCTCGTTGTTGTTGTTGAAAGTTCTTAGACTTCAGACAAACATTCCACGAAGGTAAACTTCATAACCAACTATCAGGTCTGTATGTGATAATTTGAACTGCGCAACAGCTTTATAATTTGATTGTTACAAAATAAAACAAATTCCGAAGAGGGACATCTCGTTTTCTTGATATTCAAGATATTACAAGAGTTGAAACAAAAGATGGCGCATTAGATTGTTATGTACAGTGCTGCCACTCCAATATTTTAAATTTCACTACGTGTTGAATTTCACTACTCAGGGATTTCACAAAACGCGACAGGATTACATTACAGGATTACTATTTTGATATAACTACACGCTAAGAATGTCTTTTAGGAAATAATAAAATGCAAGTAATTTTCAACCGCAAAGCAAAGTAATAATTCATTTACTGAGAGAGAATGACATAAATAGATTAAATATAGAACGACAATATCCAAAATATAGTAAAAAACAAATTCCGAAGAAAGTGTCGGCTGAACATTATTGTCGGCTGGAATTGGTTAAATTGTCGGCTGGACATGGTTTTTGATACTATCCAAGACCTGGTTGTCTGCGATTTGTATTGGATTAACTTTCTCTCAGGCTTCATGGTTTACATAATATGCTTTTTTTGCCATACTTTAAAATGTACAATCTACACTGAAATTTGTTACTTTTGAAGGTAGCACAAAATTTATATTATAATTTCCCATAACTTAACAATCTCAGTGAGCAACATACAGTTTCAGCCTTTATTTCAACATAAAACAAAGCTTTTCGTGTCGTAGGAAACTAGTTATTTTGCGCGAGAATGGTTTTTAGAAGCTATAGTCAAGCTGTCGTAGAAAACTATAAGACATAATAACACACACTCTGGCTTAGCTAATTCGCGTCTTTTCAGTTTAAATGTGAAAAGTAATTTTCCGTCATTTGTTTTCCGCTTTAATTCACCACTTTTACGGCAGCGTGCACGTGTATCTATGACGTCATTAAAAATGTAAGCAAAGTCAAAGTTCGGACATTGAAAGCTTCGTTCATTATGATGCAATAGTAAAAAGTTATTGTAGCTCAGGAAAGGATTAGGTTATATTAAAAACGATTATTAGCATGTATGCCAAAATGTTAAGTAAAATGCGCAAAACAACCCCATAAAATTATCGTAATGCTGGAGCCGCGCGTCGCGCTAAAAAATTAACTTAAAGGACATTGGCAACGAAAATTTTTATGGCATATTTTTGAACCTTTGTGATGTCTAACAACTAAAATAGAAAAATTTTTTCTCAAAAATATTTTGTTGCTGAGATATTTGCAGCAAATTTTTATAAATTGCGCCATCTTGGATAAAATTTTGATAAAATTATCTCGAGCGGTAGTGACGTCATTGGCTGGTGAGCAGTCAAAACAACAATACAATATACTTTGTGATTGACTGCGTTACAACACATTTAAAGCGTATTTTACGGGGTTTTTTTGCTGTAATGGATGACATACACGAAAATCAACCGGGTGAGGTTCTGCCCTATCAATATGAACCTGAAGTGAAGGCCGAAACTAGTGAAGAAAGCGGTTCCGAACAGGAGAGTGAGCAGAGCGACTTGTCCTCGTCGGAGGATGAAATACATGCTGAATTTGAGAAAGCAAATGCTTTGCGCCTTCAAACTCTTAGTTGGTGTAAGTGTGGACATTGTACTTTGTCAAAAAAGGCAATAGAGTGTTTTTGTTGCCACGAAAACGCGCTTGAATACGATGAGTATGAGGCTTTGCTAGGCCAAACAGAAACTCAAGGAGAAAATTGCTTGACAACACACCAAGAATTTAGGAACAATATGCTGTCAGAAAGTGTGTTAAAGATAGACGTGTGTCGGCATCTTGAAGAAAACTGGCCCCTGTCTGATGAGGAGCTGGCGAGAATACACAAGCTGTATCGATTAGTTGCCTATCAAAGATGTTCAAGGTGGATTTTTCAAATTTTGGGGAAGAAACATCGAAGACTATTTCCTGCTTGTGTTTATGCTAGCATACGAAAACGCTTCGCGTCTCCAGACGGACTTTATACACATTTTAAATACGCATGTTATCACGAAAGACCGTAAATTTAGTCTTAGACAGACGCTCTTTGATGTTCTTTGTTATGGTCTGCAATTGCGAGCCATATCATTGTCAAAGGATTGTCACGAACTGCGCAAAAGCAAAATGCATGAGTGATCCACCCAAAACTTGTATTCATTCATAAGTTATAAAGTTAATCGAAAAGTGTATTTGTACATTGTGCACGCAAACACGCAGTAAAACATTACGGATAAACGAAACTCTACAGTCAAGAACAAAACATAGCGGCTTAGAGCTTATCACCTATATAAAACTACATAATCTTTCAAAGACTCTTATGTATACAAATAATAAATTACACGTATAACTCATTTGTTGGTCACAGGTTTGTAATATGTGAAATATTTCTATTGCACGAAATAGTGTATAAAACGCGCTTGTTGTTGTACACTTGGTATGTCGGCAAAACCTAGTTGTAAGATCTGCTAAAATAAACGTTTCTACGTCTTATAACGACTAAATATTGGAAAAGTATATAAGCGTGATAAACTACACAACTTTTTAATCTTAACAACCGCCGACTGTTGTTTTGTTTTAAAATTCCAGTGAACAAATGTGCTATATATTATTATAATACTATTATTTTATATTGTGTCATTCAGTGGACACCAGCCAATGACGTCAGTAATGTTTCCCCCATAATTTAGCATAAAGCTTTTTTTCCAAAATGGCGGATAAGGATTCAACTTTATGTCAAATTTTCTCAACAGCAAAATTCAAAAGACACGAAAACACGAAATTAAGTATTCCATAGCTATCTATGATAAACGTATGAAAAAAAAATTTTCGTTGCCAATGTCCTTTAAGCGCTATAGAGATGTCCATTTACGGAAAATGTACTTAGGTTTGATGTTTACCTTTTCTTGCAACGCATTGACTTACTAAAGATTATCGAGACATGATGTACACCATTTCCTGTGTAGATCTTGTGCGTATACAAATTATGGTTTTGCAGTCTTTTAGAGTTTATCTCATTTTCTTTTGTCTTTAATGCATTCGGCGCATATAAAGTTCAACATTTGAAAATGGCAATGAAATAATCACTAATAAGTTGATTATGTATTAACGTTCCTTCTGTAAAAATAAGCATGAACGGCAAAACTATTTCTCTTTCTGTATATTTATGTCTCATTTCACATGGTTCGTTCACTTTGGTGACTGTATTTTTTATTCTTTTGTCAACGCTTGGTTTTATTTGACACCTGCTGAGCTGAGCGTTTCAATTTAAACTAAAGCTTTTTTTTGTAGGATTTCATGTTTCTGACGCATGAGTTTGGGGACGTAAGATTAAAGAAAGGGGGGGCATGCAGGTGGGGATAAAACATTCGTATTCGGCAAGATCGAATGCCTAAAGTATGTTTATAATATTACAGTAAATTTTCACTTGTAACATAGCATAAATATATTGTCTAATTTATTATATAGCTAGTACCTGTAATTAGTAAAGTGTAGAACACAAGTTTTTAGCCTGTGTTTTTACCATTTTAGCCTGCTACAGCTACCACAACCCCGAAAAATACTCTCCCATTTACAAACACCTACAAAATACTAACTGAAAATTCCAACACTCACTTTGTGTTTGACAATCTTAGACGATGCAAATACCCTAGCTCAAGTTATCTATCTAATACACGCAAACACAACTAGACCTGAACAAGTTGTAAATAATTTACTCCTTTTACGATTATAATGCATGCAGGGAGGTATAAAGGTTACAACTGTAACCAATATGAAACAAAAGGTTACATCAAAGCAAATTTATGGGCAAAACTTTCATCATTTTATTATGATACATGATAAAGACATGGGCTTTGAGAGATTGATAATCAGAAGGTGGGTAGGATTTTCACATATTCATGTCATATAATTCGTTAAAACAATCAATTTCAAAAGAATTCAAGACAACAAATCATGCATATATGAATATGAACCGCCCAATTTACAATTGACCTAACTGTTGCTTTTCTGGAAAGTATCCTTAACATATGATTTCTAAGAACAATCAAAAATTACAATTTCTAAGAATAATAAAAAATCAGAATTACGAAGAGCAATAAAAAATTACTATTTAATTATTACATTATACACAAAAACATACTGGTATAAGATAATTGTCCAAAGAAAACTATTTTCTTAAAAATCATTATGTGAGAGTCATTGCTGTCTCCATCATTTGAATAATGATGATTTATACGTTGTATTTACAGTTACACTTAATCTCAGGTGAGGTCAATTATCATTTAGTTCAGCAATCACTTATTTGTTCTATGTTAACAGAACGTTTCCCAATCATTGCTTCCTCTGGCGATATCTGCAAAATTCAAAAAACGTTAATGAGACTTGTTGAAGAATCAAGGTCATTTCAACTATATAAATGTAGTTTCGTTCAGTAGAGGACGATTACACCAGTTACAGCAGTCATATCTCCATTTTAAAATACTTTGTAACTAACCCTATTTAAGCTATTTTGCTTCTTATTTTAAATTCTGTGTTATCTTTACGATTATCTTGGTGTAGGAACGTATCTTTTTCATTATCTTTTATAAATGATTCCAAGTACAATGGAGTAAAATACGCAATAGAAATGATAAAGATCGAGTAGTTTATTGTTATCGACAGTACTTGACACAATCTGAGAATACACTCATATTACAATATATAGTTACTACATTATTTAGGTGGTGCAAGTACTATACTTCAAAACACAACAAATGTTATTTTCAGTGAATAATTGATTATAGAAAGCTCTTCACCTTTCTAAACTTCACCCATTTCATTTGTTTCCTCATGGTATTCATCAGTTACTCTCATAACTGCCTCCCACCAAAGATTACCACTAAGAGTAAATGTGCGACCAGTGGCTTTCTCGTATCGGAAGATATGAGGTGTATACGGTTTCGACCAGGTATTTGTAAAACGGTCGTACTTCATAACGTCGCCCCAAAATGGACGCATAACTTTAAATCTCACCTCGATATTTGTTGCACTTGAAGAAATATTCACTCTCTCCCATCACCACTTACTTCTTCCGTGACTTTTCTTTCGTTTAAATAATAGGTTACAATCATCTTTGAGAACCATGAACCTTTGGAGTAATATTTAATGGTTTTTCTGGTCAACTGCTCTTGGCTTATATCGACGAGAATTGAGTGTTGTTGGGTCTTTGACGCAAAATTTTCATTATTTGAGCAGTTTGAATTTCTTTGAGGGCAATAAATTTCGTCAGTTGATATAAAACCCATTTCTTTTGTTTCTCCATACTCATTACTGACTCCCATAACTGCGTCCCAACGAAGATTACCACTAAGAGTAAATGTGCGATTTTTTGCTTTTTGGTATCGGAAGATGTGAGGTGTATATGGTTTTAACCAGGTCTTGCTAAAACGGTCGTACGTCATGACATCACCCCAAAATGGACGCATAACTTTAAATCTCACTTCGACATTTGTTGCGCTTGCAGAAATAATCACTTTCTCTCCATTACCACTTACTTCTTCTGTGACTTTTTCTTCGTTTAAATAATAAGTTACGATCATCTTTGAGATCCATGATCCATCGGAGTAATACTGAATGGTTTTTTTGGTCAATTGTTCTTGGCTTGTTTCATCGGCAATTGAGCGTCACTGTGTTTTTGACGCAAAATTTTCATCATTTGTGCATGTTGAATTACTTTGATTGAAATCGATTTCTACTGTTGATGAAAAATTTCTCTCTGTTTGAGAGCTATGTGTCAGGGGTTTTGCAGATGCTCCATACTTCACGTTTGAATTGTTCTCACTTAGTAAAAAATCATTTGCTCCTACCTGTAACTCATCAATTGAAGTTTCTTCAAACACTTTATTGTATGATTGTTTTGTTCTTTCTCTTCGCTGATTGTTCTCCTTTTCCTTTAATTCCTTACGCGCAAATTCATTCTCATTTGTTTCATCATCATTCTCACCGTTTTCTTGAGTTAGATAAAACTCGTGCATTAGTTCCTGTAACCCGTCAACATCCTCTCCACCAAATGAATTTTCTTCGTTTTCCAGTAGATGCAATAACTCCTGGTCTTGATTCTCATTCTCACTTACAAGTGTTGTCAGATCTAGCTTTTTAGCCGAACTATCTACGAGCTCGTAAGCAGCGTCGTAAGATTTTTCAATTGCAACTCTCGACGCCAAAATAGCAGCTCTTTTACCAACAAGGCGCAATAGTTTAACTGTATTTTGTCCAGTCGTACGTAAAAGCTTGCTCTATTAAGTCACCTTCAATCGTTGGTGCGGCCGCAGATGAACCACTATCAACTAAAGGTTTAGTAACTGCACCTGCTGCTATACCAGCCGTCGCTCCTATCAATCCTCCCAATAGGGCGTGAATTATGACCTTCTTTAGAGCAATGTTTTCTTTGTCAACTAATTTCCTTGAGAGAATAGAGCTCAAAGACATTATTACTCCACCAATACCACCATTAGCTGCTCCCATTCCAATAAATTTACCAATCGAAACCGCACTTGACGATAATGCTGCGTTTCCAATGCCTACTATTCCTGCTGTGATGCCAGCGGACGCACCTCCAACGAAGACACCTGCAGCTCCACCTATCAACGCTTTTTTGATCCATTTCTCAGAATCCATTCCATCAATAACAGATCGTTCTTTTAGGCATTCACCTGAAGATTGTAAGCCGGCGCCGAATAACGCTCCACCAGCTATTGATCCTAATGTTACAAAAACTGGTGCACCGAGACCAGCCGTTAAAACAGAACAGGTGATCCCGCCGACAGCTAATAAAGAAGAGAATACAAGAAAACCAAGTCGCTTCCAAAAAGCTTTAAGTTGCTTTACACTCCCGCATTCAGATGAAAAAATTGCTTTCCACCGTTTTAAAGAAAACCATCCTTGTTGATAGTCAAAGTGGTTGTGATATTGAGCTCGATATTCATCATTTAACAAAATTTCCTTTGCGTGAATTATCTTTTCTGCTATTTCCTTATTGCCATTAGGCTTGTCGGGATGCCATATAAGCATCATTTTAAGAAATCCTGTTTTGACCGCTTTTTTTAAGTCATTTACATTCATTTTACGAACTTCTTTCATGTTTAATCCTAGTTGTTCATACAAGTCTCCAGAGGGCAATTCGTTTTCTCGATTTATGTGGCGACCGATTGTTTGCTTGCCATTTTCGTTTACAGTATTTCGTTGACAAGTTAATGATTCATTTATAGTTATCACTTCAATATCGTTGCAATTCTTGGGTCCAAGAAGCTTCTTTTCATTTCTATTGTCTATATGCGCAAAATTTCAAACTTGAATGATTCCTTATGATGATAGCGATGATTCTCTGTTGGTTGGAGGGTTTTTGAAGAAGTCGGAAACTTGCAAAAAGGAGACCAACCTTTGTAATAGTTTACAGTGATTTTAACATTGGAATGGTTTTCAACGACTAAGCATTTATATTGATCATCCGCCATTGAGTTTTGTTTTTTAAACTCTTGATTATCCAATTTTCTTTATGAGACACTGTCGTCTTAATGTTCAAAGTTCTGCTTAATATGTCATCACTATAGTTCCTGAGAAAAAAATCATTGTAAAACTGAAGCATTAACATTTTTTAATTGCAGACTTGGAGATTGCGGATGATTGCCTCTTCTGAACCTCCAGATGTGCTTTGGTATAAATGTTACTGAGGAGTAGTCTGCCGAAATGCATCGTGTCGTTTAATTTAGAACTATTGGGTTCGTGCTTTTTATTTAAAACAGTTCTTTTAAGAACTGTCAACTTGTTATATTACTTTTACCATTCACTATGGTATTTGCTATCTTTAGAACTATTTTCAGATTTGTCACCACGACAAAGTCCCTATGTTATTATTTAAGAAAGCGCTATAATGGTGGTGAGGTTCGTGACATTAATAAATTGGTGAGACTTAGAGGGAAAGTTCGCTCGGTGGTAGCAGCAATCCAGAATTTTACGATAACTGACCGCGCGCTCCTCGCTCTTATGGCTAAACACGTCAGCAAAAGTGCTTTTTTATTTTATTTTGTTTTGTTTTTTTTTTTGAAAAAGAAATCTTCAAATAACTTTTGGTTATTATACTTATCTGTAAATGTGCTGATTCGCAAGTGATCTCATTAATTTTTTCTGTATATACCTAAGTCAAAATAACTCATGGGAGAACTGCATTTGAACTATGTCTACAAATCATAAATGCATGAAGCAAGTTTAAAAATGAGTTGTAATTTCAACATAATTTTCATGTTTCATAGTCCCATATTCTCATCGTGTTGATTTTTTAGTAATATTTCAAAATATTGTCATAAATCCTTCAAGATTATTTGGAATGTATAAAAACACAAGCTTTATAGTTACGTCATTCACCGTCAAGATTGTGAAACTCTGTGAAATATAAGTACTAACAGTCTCTTTGGAAGTTTCTAGCAACAAAGAAAAAACACTCCAATACTTGGATGAATACTTTTTTACGATCAAGACTATCATATTCATTTATCCTTATATGCCATTCCTACAGCTCAATGAAATTTAAACCAATCAAAAAATCCAGTTTATTAAAATTTCATTTTAAAATGAGTAATGTAATAGTCCGTGATCTGTGACCGATTTTCTTTCATTCCCGTTGGACACCTCAAGGAAGGTCGTGAAAAATTCAAGACAGAACGACTTTTACATGCTTAACGCAGTTTTACTTCTTGTCATCTCCAAAAAGCTGCAGTTTTATTGCTATATTACATTAAAATTTTAAAATTTGTAGCTCATTACAATTTCGGAATCCGCCATTTTCCCCATTGAGTTCTATAATAACTGGAGGGGAAACGTCAACAAAATTTGTATAAATTATTAGCGCGCGGCCGCGTGGTCAAAAACATGGCGGATTTTGGTGGTCAAAGTCAGCGGAGAGACGCGGGCTCATGAAATAAAATTTTTGTCGCCCACCCTGATTTGACCACCACGATTGCGAGTATAAAAAATATCAAAACTATTTATTTTCCTAACATAAACACTTTTTTAAAATTTTATTTATTAAACCGCCAACTTCTGTGGTTTGGGGATGCTGAAATAGCGACAGAAAAGGGAACATTTCTTGACTCCGGTAAGTGGCAAAGTATTAGTTTTACTATTGTGTTTTTAACACGATACTTGAAGAGTGTTTCTACTACTAAGTTTTAATTTAAAGTTATTTTGGTCCAGTCTTGTTTGTTCTTCACTTAATCGCTCGCCAGACGTGGCGAAGCCGTCAATTTTTATCGAGTTTTGCATCCATCTTGTATCATGATCAAGGCATCAAGCTAAACTCTCCTGATTTGAATTGAGTTTACCTCCCAATAATGGGGCATAATTTATTCATGTTTTTTTTTGAAAAGATGAAGGGAAAGTTTACAACAGAGTTGTGTTGAAATTGAATGCAGTGCCATGCAAAATTAATGAGAACTATGGTATATGTTGCATAATAAAAATAACTATTAAACTGTTTGCCTGCTCAATTTGACTGACTGTATGGTGTAGACAGTTATAATGAGATTGGAAAGTTGGATTTATGCTAACAATTTTAAAGTACTACTTAGCATTTCTGTAAATGAAGTATTTATTGTTATAGTAAACAGGTTAATACTTCAAAACCAAGATGAAAGTAGTGTGTTGAACAATGTGCTAAGATTTGTTTCTACCTTGAAATTTTTGTTCAACAGTAGATTATATCATTATGATTATATCATTAATATGCATGAAAAATTAAACATTGTCTCATCTCATTAAATCCATACTTGGTATGATTCCAGGTGATCCACAAATTCACATCGGATGCACTGGTTACAATGAAGTTGAATGTAGAGGAAGCAAAAATAGATGGCAAAGAAATTCTTTGTGTCTTATGAAGAATTAGTAGAAATCAATAAAAAGAATTCTTTAAACAAATTGTAAACAAATTTAAATTTGCTCATGGTCAAGCAACCTAGTCAAAGAAGCAAAGTCTGTCTTCAACATGCGACCTTTCCAATTATTTAGTTTCTTTGTACAAAATACTATTTTCGAGAAACTTGATTTGTAAGTCTTTCATTAATATTTTTTTACCAAGAGATAAAAGGAACTAATTCAAAGGCTTGATGTAAAATACAAAGATTTAACAAGTTGTTTATCATTTAATTCCCAAATGTTAGTTTGTACATATGGCGAGAGATAGAGACGTTTGGCGTAGAAAAATTCATGGACCGGTCAACCCCCCTGGCGGGGATTAATAGTGGCCGGTATACAAATGTTGTTTGTTGTTTGTTTTAGTTTGTACATATAAATAATTAGTATTGGTAGCTGTAAGTTGTTTAAGCAAAACAGAAGAGTAGTAGTGCTCGAATGGGTTAGCATTTTTGAAAAATTATATCTTGTTCTTGACATATATTACACAATTCCAAAAAACTGTAAGTAATGCACAATAATATCTATAGAACTTGATAAATTTCTTCACCTACACTGTCAAATAAATATTTTGCCTTCATGCAGCAATAGACAGTGTTTTGTCAGAGAAACCAATGCACTTTAGTTTCCAAGT